GAAGAATAATTACGAAACGAGTCCCTCTGCTAGCCCCCACCCCTTATATAACTCTACCCCTGGCTTTAATACCCAACGCCTTTTCGTTTAGGAAAAAAACTGCTTATTTTTATTTATTTTCTTCGCAAACGTATAATAATCGGTATATAATACGAGCACAGTTGGATAAAGAGAGAAGCCACGAGTAATCCAGAGATCGCACTATTTTGCGAGAAGAAAACCGGATAAACCGCAGAAATGTAGAGACGTTATATATCCTCTCTTTGGTGCATGGCGCGTCGAGGGACGCGCGTGTGGCTGACGTTGCCCGAGAAAAGGCACACACGTAAATCGGTCGCTGCTTATACGAGTCGAGCTTGCGGCCTACATGCGGCTCTCTCAGCCAGTATAGCATACACGTCCTGCAGCAGTGAGGCGCGCGCGCGTTAAAACTCGTATATGGAGATAAGCGCGTACTCATCCCCGCAAGAATATGACGTGGTAATCCCTGTACGACTGCGCGAGCGCATATACATATACGTAGGGGGTTATATACGTGCGGCCTCGCCTCAACGTGCGCTGCTATACACTGTATACAGAGAGAGAGAGAGAAGCAGTCAGATGGGGATTCCCTCGGTATCTTCTCTCTTACTCTATATGTATATGGGCATTAATCCGCGAGTGACCCCTTACCCGTGCGCTCGCTGCCTTAAGAATATGTACACGTGAGTTATCCTCTGAGACGACGTTCTTTTTCTCTCTCTCTTCTTTCTTTTTCATTTCTTTCGCTAAAGTATAATCGCTTTGGGATGTTCGCTTTGCGGTCAGTTGGATTCTGATGCACGATGACGACGAAGGAAGAGGAGAGGAAAAAGAAATTGATCGTTGCGCGCTACGCTGAACATTGGTAATTTGTATTATAACATTCGCGTTTGCAGTTGTATATTATACGTATCTGCTCCTCGTAGTCGTTGCCTTGGATATATTATACAGTTCTTACGTGTACGCGTGTATACGTCACCCTTTATATACACGCGAAATCATTCTCTCTCGCTCTGTCGGTGCCTGCGCGCGGAGCTAACGCATATACGCGCGCATTATAAAGCTCGACAATTTTCTTCGACTCGCAGCTACCTACTACCTACCCCCCTTCACCCCCTGGAGATACCCCCGCGCAGCTAAATTAAGCTGCTTAGCTTCGCGAAGAGAGAGAGAGAAAATTTACGTGAAGCTGCAGCCGAAGCAGCAACACATACAGTTTGCTCAAGTAATTTTAATCTGTACGCGCGCGAGTATATAAGATCGTGACGAGCTCGCGCGCGCGCGTATGTGCTTGTGCGCAAACCGGGCGCAAAAGCTCTAACTCGGTTGGCAGCTACTGCTACACATCGACGCGACTTCTAGCTCCTATACTCTGAACTCTTCGTCGAAGCTTACCGCTCGCTCGCGAGCTTTCTAAGCGTCTTACCTATAAGGTGGCGTGTATAAGGAAGAAGACGCGAACTTGCGCTCATGGGGGCTCGAGAGAAACTCGCGCCGATGATTACACCTCTCGCAGCTGCAGCTGCTGTAGTGTGTGCTGCTGTGTAGCGAGGCATTTTTTCTTACCCAGGAGAGCCAAGACGCGTGAAATTCGTTATAAGAGGCTGCTGCTGCTGCTGCTGCTGCGTGGATCGACGGGAAAATTTAATTACGCAATCGTAATCCCTGCCCTCGAACATCAGCGACTCGATACACGAAGAGATATACTTTACTCGATCTCTCGAGCCTCACGTGTGTGTGTGTATAAAATAGCCTAACTCGTGTGCGGCTAGAGCCAGAGAATAAGCTCATCATTAGTTAAAAAAAAAGTAGAAAGGCTCTCTCTCGAGCTGCTCGCGCGGCTATACGGGGATTTGGAAGGTTTCGTCGCGTGGCCGGTGATCTCGTAAAGCTCCGCCGAAGGTTATCTAATTACGTCTTATCTGCCCTGGCCTATGCCTGTGCGCCTCTCTCTCTCTCTACTTCTCTCTGTGCCTAGGCTAAAGCTTAAATCGCACGCGAAGCTAAAGCGGCACGCGAACGTCTTAGCCTTTCTCGCGCGCGCGTCCGTGTACAGCTAATACGTATGCATATCAGCTGCTGCTACTGTTCCAGTATATGTCACGATGTATACTTCGCACGTGCAAACATGCGATGTGCGTCGACGACGTAGACGACCTTTTTTTGCGTGCAACAATTGACTCGCTCGCACGAGTTTGATCAAGGAAAAAAGTAATAATTCGTTCGAGAGATAATAACGTGAACTCCAGGGCGCGCGCGATAAGCAAAAGTCGAGCTCGCGAGCGGCAAAAGAGTTGAAAATACACACGCACACACGCGAACGCGCGTAATAATAATACGAGGAGCTCATGGATAGCGGCACGCGGCTATCGTCCTACATCCGCCGGATCAGCCTCTCGGGCAGCGGCAACGTTGTTGTTGATAAGTAGCAATATTAAAACTTTTTTTACCCGCATCACCCACAATTTCCTGCCTCGTGGGAGGAGAGAATCGTCGAAAAATTTCCCAGCGTTAGCCACGTATAGCACTACTCGAGAGTCGGTCAGTATCATCAAACTCGTATAATGTAGGCAGCTAGGGCAGTTACCGAGCGTGATCGTAGCACAACGAGGGATGGATCGACTGGTAGCGTTTAGCGCTGCCCGAGAACGGCTTCGAGAAAACGCGATTAGATTCTATTTGCCTCGAGACGCTCAGCCGAACGCGCGTCGCGCAAACTTCTTAGATTACAATGAGCGAAGAGAGAAACCTTAGTCAACCTAAATCCCTTTCGCCTATATTCTCGTCCTTCTCGCTTAGCTCTCGCTCTTATATCTGTATACATATTATATATGTTATATATATGCTGCAAACAAAAGTCTTAGCCGCTCCAAGCTTTAGCGCGCTTAACGCGTACAAGAGCAAGACAGCTCTCGGCGAGAGAAAAAAATTAATTAACGAAAGTTCGCGGAACGTATAATATATAAAAGTTGCCCGTGCGCGCACTGCTTTATCACAGTCGCGCTGTGAGGCTGCTGTTCGCTGAATAAAGCTCTCTCTCTCTCTCTCTCACTCTCTGATCGTACGTTCGGGCCGCTTCCCGTCGAGCACCAGCGAGAGAGAGAGCTAGAGAGATAGATAACGGAAATGCGATATACCGACTTCTGACACTCAGAAATGAGAAATGTCTTTTTGCCAGCCAGAAGCGGATGCTCAGCGAGAGAGAGAGAGAGTGAGAGAATGGCGAACCGAAGATGAAAGATTAAAGATTCGGTGGGCGAGAAGTAGAGAAAGAGAGAGTTCGAGTAGGAAAAAATGAAGAAAATAAATGACGATAATCGAAGGAACAACCCTAAGAGAGTGAGAGTTGGCTCATTGTAACGCCAGAGCGAAGAGAATTTTTCCGTCTTACCAACTTGGCTCGAGGGTTGCAAAAAATCTACATTAATACACGAGAGTTCGAGCTCGACGATTTTCTTGCGCCAGCACCCGGTGTGTATCCGATCTGCAAGCTCGAGTTCTCTCTCTCTCTCTCCCTATAAAATATATATAAGCGCTCACCTTAGGAGCCTTAGCTCCTCGAACGAGCGAGAGACGAGGCCGTGCTCGCACATCGTCTTGGGCCGAGCTCGAGCGCCACAGCTAGCCTCTAATAACCATCGTATATAAGTCTCCGGCAGGACCAGTGACTTAAGACAGCGCAGGGTCAATATAATAATAATAACAACAACAACAACAGCAGCGCCGTAGCTCAGGCATCAATATACATAGCTATAACAAAGCAGGATTTCACCTTGACCAAAGGGTGCATAAACGCCCGGGCTCCCGAGCCTGTGCGAAAGAGAGAGAGAGAGAGAGAGCTAGGTGCAAAAGGGCTTGGTGCTTTGCGTTATTACGTATTAATGCTTTAAACTTGCCTATCTAATACTACCTTGACCACTGCCCAGAGAGAGAGAGAGAGAGAAAGTCTAATCCCCGACGACGTACTATAGTTTTCATTAGTGCGAAGAAGCAGAGGCTAGGCATACGTATAGCTATATGAGAAAGCTTTAAACTAGCGTATAGCGGAGCTTTTGCATTGGCAATTTAATCTCGCCGAATAGGCTGCTGTGCGGACCTTTTGTAATTTATATATGTATGTATATGGGAAGAGCTGATATGCCACTAGTATTTATATGATACCCCACTACTACTCGCATGACGCGCGGCCTATACACACGCATGTAATGTATTGTATTCAACGAGACGCGCAGAGACAAGGATTCAGCTGTACATGCGATTAAATCGTTTTTCAATTTATCATCGCTCCCATCACGCGTATATGGTCAGAGTTATCGATGGTTTTTAATTTTGATTTTTCCATTAAAAATCGCAACGCTAGCGGTATAAATATAATCGAGTTTTCGACGTTTTAAACGCGCGCCTCATCTGGCCTCATTGTCGTCGTCGTCGTCGTCATCGTCGTCGGGGGGTTGCTGCGAGCGAGGATTAAACGACGTGTGTAAGAGGCCGCAGCAGCTCACTACTCCTAGCGCAAACGAGAGAGAGACTTAAGTCGAGCAGGGTTAAGCGAGGATCGGCGTCGACTTTTCATTGTGCGCCGCAGCAGCTAGTGTACAGTACACAGCGTGTACCCTCGCGCTTTCGGTCCTATTGTCTTGACGCTGGGATATCGCGCGCGCGCGGCGGCGGAGAAGCTCCAGAGAGAGAGAGAGAAGAAGAAGAAGAAGAGATAGATCTGCATATGCTTAACCAGCCCTCACTCTCTAGTCGCTCACTATATACCGGGCCTTTCTATTCGGGGGCGAGAGAGATTACAAGCCGTGAGCAGCAGAGAGCGATCGTAATACTTCAAAACTCCTATTATATATCCGACGAACGAACGAATGAATGCCGAGCCTGTACGTCTGCGCGCTTTTGATTTCCCGATAAATCGATGCTACATATATACCGTATTCATCTTTTAATTCCTCGCCTTTTTTTCTTACATCGTTTTTCAGCCAAGAGTCTTCCAGTGCACTGCGTCGTCGAGGTCATTCACAGTCTGGCCGAGACGCGCGCAGGACAAGCAGTCGGCGGTGGAGGTCATCCTCATCGCGACAGCTGGCGCCGACCCCACATCGAGACCGACACCTACGTCTTCATCCCGGCCAACATGCCGTTTCAGGATCTCGTCGGCGAGGTTCTGGTGCGCCTCAACTACTCGAGCGATCTCATACTCAGCGCCAGGGGCAGCATAGTAATACGCAACTGGAAGCCGCTGGCCACGGATCGCGTGGCGGACGGGCCGCTGCTCACAGTCGGCGACATCCTCGCGGAGCTCATCAATCTGGCCACGCTGCGCATTCAGATATTTCGCGCGAGGCCCAGCCCGGCCTCGGAGATACGCGACAAGCTGCTGAGATTGCTGCTGCTGCGCAGCCACGCGGTCCTGCTGGCCGCCGGTTGCCCGCTCGACGAGGTAAGCCCTTTCTCGAAAATTCTTAACGAACTTCTTCATCTTCTCGCTCGTATCTCGAGAGCAGAGATTATAAGCCCCGAAAATTTATCAATCATGTCTCGCACGCGCGCGGGAAAATCGCAACTGAAAACTGTCTCGGGGCCATTATGAAGCATAGTAGGCGCACTGTACGCCGAGTCGTCAATCAAAAGCCCAACCATCTGTCTCGTCGCGCTCGCGTACTAGTCGCTAGCATACATATACTTTATAAAACTAGAATCGACTGTGTGCCTATGTATATCAGCAAAACGAGAGAGAGATGGAAAGGGTGTAGGAGAGGGAAAGAGAGAGAACATCGTGATAGGATTACCCTTTACTCAAGCCGAATTTCGCATCAGCCTTCTACGGGAAAAGCTTTCCCTCCTACCGTTCCCTTTCAAGCTTCTCTCCGCTCTCTCTCTCTTCTGTACCATATATACAGACACCAGGCATTATCTAAGTGCACTAGCTACTCTCTTACTCTCTCTCTCTCCTACTCCTTTGAAGACGGAGATCTCTTCCAAGTCGAACTTTAATGCCTTCGACTCACTGTCTTGTACGGCAAGCTCGCGCGCGGCTGGTCTATGATTACCAATTTTCCGAGGCGCGTGTCTAGCCCTTTTGGCCCCACCGACTTTAAGTGGCCGCTAACATGACTGCCGACGCTGTTCAAGCTACTGTGCTGCCGCTGCTCGCAGCTACTTAGTTTTCATCACATGTATATTGATACGCCTTAAGACATGGAGATTTCGACGCGCACGCAGCAGCAGCACAGCGATCGCTCCAAAATGCTCGGGGCTGACATATCGTAAATTCTAAAGCGCGAGAGATAAGCGGTAACCGCTGCTGTCTTTTTTTCCTTTTTAGTCTCAGCCGGTGCACAATTAATTACGCGCGCTGCTACAGTTGCAAATCTTGCTACGAGGTGTTTGACTGATTAGAGAGTCAGCGAGCAGCGAAATAGCACACGAATAATCGCGGGTATTTTTCCAGAAGGAGAGCTATAATATAAAAAGCGCGGGAGCCAGAGATATTTGCCTGCTGCTGCTGCTGCTGAGCGTGTAATTGACGAGATAATAACGAGCAAAAGTGAGAGATTGATTTACAGTGATAATCAGGCTGCTTCTTCTTCGTCTTCTTCTGCGTTCGCCACGCAAAACCCACTTTGTAAATCAAAAAGTGCGTGAGCGCGATAAGCCTCGAGCGCCCTACATGAGCGCAGCAGCCGCAGCGTATTTGTTCGACGCGCCCGTGTACGGCTCCGTCGTAAAAGTTTCGAGCTCGGAGGAATCATGATGATGCTCCTCTTAGCAGCAGCAGCAGGTGATAGCTAGCTGCCAGCTAGCTCGTCGTCGTCTTGTGCGCGCGGATTAAGCTCGTTGACGCCGCTGCGATGCCCGCCCGTGTCTGTTTATTCTTATAAATCAAAAAAGCTCACTGCGCTGCGCACACGTTGCAGCCGCGAGATAAGAAAACTCGTCGCACACATAATGTCGAGAGAGAGAGAGAGAGAGGGCCTCGGTGGATTTTTCCCGCGTAATCTCATCTTACGTGTAGCGTGTATAGCATAGCGTGACGTTATAAACGCTTTATTTCACCTTATTATTTTTTTTTCTTCTTTTCACGCGTGTCTCTCATAGGCGACTCTATCGTCTCTGTGCCGGGGTGGCAACGACATCAGCGAGGAGACTCAGCGAGCCTTCGAGTCCTGGCTACAGCAGCAGCACCTCGGCCTCATACCGAACTCGCTGCTCCAGCCCCCGACCACGAACCACCACCATCATCACCCGGGCCTCAATCATCACCGAGCTCAGTCGCCCCAGGGCAGTTCCAGCGTGGCCGAGGTCGTCTCGTCGGCTAGCGGCGGACCAACGGCGGGCAACAATTCCGCAGCCGGCGTCGTTTCTCTGCCCCCTCACCACCCGGCCCATCCCCACCACCACCATCACCACGCGGGACTGCTGCCGTTCTCGCACAAGTCCCGAATGCGCACGAGCTTCGACCCGGAGCTCGAGCTGCCCCGACTGCAGCGCTGGTTCGGCGAGAATCAGCACCCGTCGCGTCAGCAGATACAGCACTACGTCAATGAGTTAAACGCGCTAGAGTCGAGGCGCGATCGCAAGCCACTGCACGTCAACAACGTCGTCTACTGGTTCAAGAATGCCCGTGCTGCTCAAAAGAGGGCGGAGAATCGGGGCGTTAATGGATACAGTCCACCGGGCATGAGTCCAAGGAATGCGAGCAACGTCAGCGAGGACTGCAGCGACGAGGAGGAAGATTCCAGACTTCAGGTAACTAAATTTTCTCCCTTGAGTTTCGAGTAGCCAAGCTTCGAATTCGACTCCATCCTCGAATTTTACAGTCCGCCTCGCCGTCGCCTTGCGCGCCAGCCAGCCCACCCGTTGGACCCTTGTCCCTCACGACTCGACCCGAGGACCAGGCGGTCCAGCAGCAACAGCAGCAGAGCCAGGCCCCGTCGTCGACCTCGTCGTGCGTCAAACAGGAGGACTCGGTCCGCACCGCAGGAGGTGGCGGTGGAGTATCGTCCGGCTCCGAGGACGACGAGGTCAGTCCCGGCGGGCCGACCATTCCGGGCTTCTCGCTGGTCCCCAGTCCGATGTTCAGCCACAGCGTCATGTACATGTCGCATTATCTGTCGCCGCGCGGGCCCACGGGCTGCCCCACGAGTATGCTCGACGAGAGGAGGAAGCGCAACAGGACCTTCATCGATCCGGTCACGGAGGTGCCGAGACTCGAGACCTGGTTCACTCACAACACCCATCCCAGCCATGCGGTAAATATATTTCGATGATCTCTTTTAGAATTATGACATTTCTTAAATGCGCGTTGAGTAGAGCAGTAGTTTTTGAAGATGGATTTTTTGAAAATTTCAATTCTTTCGTGGCTTGGAGTACTGATCGGGGCCTCGGTACTAACGGCCTAAACTTGCAAATATTGTGAGAAGAGATCGGAAAAACTATTTTAATTTATTTGATTCAAACAAGTCGCCATTGAAATTCAATAACATTAAAGGGTAAACTAAAAACAGCACCCGTATTTACGATCATTTATCTTCTCACGTTGCACATTAGCGCGCAAAAATCACCTGGCAATTGCTAAGAATTCAGTGTAATCCGTGGACCAAATCGTCAAATTCGCGCACTATAAATATGTTTACTTCATTGTACATTCATTTGAGGAATTTTCTAAAACAAAAAAATTTAAAAACGAAAATCCGCCACTTACATGCTTGAATACGAATTGTTGGAACACAGAGATATAGCTTGTAAGTTGTAGTTTTTCTCTGCGTTCCATTTTGTCACCCGGTGTCTCCCTCCTGTATGTGTGTGCGTATGCCACGAGTGCGTGCGCTTCGTGCGATCTAATTTTTCTTCAATGAACTTTTCAACCAACTGTGTTATCGCGAATTATACATTTTTCATAAAAAACCGAAAAAATTTAATTTAAAATATACATGAAAATCAGCAGAATTAAAACAGCTGTTGGAATAAAAATTTTTACTAAATTTCATAAAAAGTAACAGGATAAGCATATCAATAAATTTATATTAAAAGCATTTAACATCAAAAGTTACTGCTAATACATTTATAAAAAGCTTTCTCCTAAACATATGGTTTATATTTAAGTTGGTGAAGGGAAGGTCGTAGAGTTTTTCAAAATCACGATAAAATGGATACCACTTTTAAATATTTTATTATCATTTAATAAATTTGAAGATAATTATATGAATGATTTTACAAAATTTCGTAGCCTACACATGCACTAGTAGAATTCCTCATCGCGTTCAAATGTTTGGTTCAATTATGTACTGTATTTATGTGAGATTTGAGAGTACTTTTGTGCCCAAAGGATTTGTGACAAATTTTACATTCAAACGGTTTACTATGATCATGTACTGTCTGTTGGTGAACTTTGAGGTTATCTCTTCGCCCAAATGATTTGTGGCAAATGTCACAGTCAAATGGTTTAATACGAATATGTACTGCATTCATGTGAGTAATGAGGATACATTTTCGTCCAAATGATTTGTGACAAATCTCACATTCAAAGAATTTGCTCCGATCATGTACTATCTTCAAGTGAAATTTGAGGGTACCCTTACGTCCATATGACTTTTGACAAATCTCACATTCGAAGGGTTTGCTACGATTATGTATTGTACTCGTGTGAGTTTTGAGTACATTCTTGTATCCAAATGATTTGTGACAGATGCTACATTCAAAGGGTTTGCTCCGATCGTGTACCGCATTTATGTGAATTTTGAGGTGACCTTTTAATTTAAATGATTTTTGACAAATACCACATTCGAAAGGTTTGCTTTGATTGTGTACTGCATTAACGTGACGGTTTAGTTGACCTTTTTGCTCAAATGATATGTGACAAATCTTACATTCAAAAAGTTTGCTCTGATCATGTACTGTCTTCATGTGAAATTTGAGGGTATCCTTACGTCCATATGACTTTTGACAAATCTCACATTCGAAGGGTTTGCTACGATTATGTATTGTACTCGTGTGAGTTTTGAGTACATTCTTGTATCCAAATGATTTGTAACAAATTTCACATTCAAAGGGTTTGCTCCGATCATGTACTGCATTTATGTGAATTTTGAGGTGACCTTTTAATTTAAATGATTTTTGACAAAAGTCACATTCAAAAAGTTTCGATGTGTTTCCAATGATTAGATTTTTTTCTTCCAAGTAGTTGGTCCTCGTTTGGTTTTCTACTTTCACGGTAGGTGGATAACTCTGATACTCAGTTTTACAAATGGTTGTAGATACAGAAGTCAGTTCAGGTTTAACATCTTTGCACTCGAAATCTACGAATATTTTTTCATCAAAATTGTTTCGTAACGCCGTAGCCTCATTCATGTGATTTGCCTAGAATTAAACTTAAATAATAATATTTGAATGTTGGAAAATAGATTATGATTTAAAACATTGAACTTACCGATGTTTTCTGAAACACGAATGATTCGAAGTTTTTGGCTTCGCAAGAGTCCACCGAATCGAAACAATAATTTTCGTCTGCATCTGGGCAAGTATCATTCAGTTCTTTTTTCATCCTGAAGAATAATAAACTTCAATGAAGCGATCCCTTGGAAAAATAGCATGGAATAACAAAAACAGTATTACCTAACTTTGTCCTCTCTATTTTCCATCGCTCGCTTTGTGTGTAATTACTGTAAATTTTCACGGTGTACATAGAAAAAATATTCGAGGTTATACGCCTCGAGTATCCAATAATACCGCGTTTCGATTCCACTAATTAGTAAACACTTGCTCACTATAGGAATTCAGTTTTTCGCCAGCGACTGTACACACTGATCGTATGATGGCACGGCGTAACTGCGATTGTGGCAGCTCCTTGTCGATACTTTCCCCTTCCACCGTCGACTGGCGAAACGCAGTGATGTTCTGCGATACCGAGTACATGCTGCAAAAGAATCACAGGATCATCCCATTATCTGCTATGACTATACCTATAAATAAAACACAAGAAACAATATTTATTATATATAAATAAAATGCACGAGACAATATTCATGAAGCAAGCGAACATATTTATAGTGCGTGAATTTGACGACCTCTAGCGGTAATAATTATAATCCTCATAATATTTTCATTCTAGCTCAAACCAATACGTTGTATCCATTTTTCTCTGCGAGCTTGTGGTAATTTTCAAGCTCATTGTACTTTGCGGATTACTTTACATTCTTAGCGATTGACGTTTGAAATTTATTTGAAAAAATGTTGACAGGCTATTTGTGCGTACCAAATCGAAACGTCAAAAAATTTCAGCATAGTAAATAAATGTGGCACTAATTGTATTGCGTTTAATTTTCCCATTTTGCGTGTTTATCTTGGCCCTGGTAGAAATGCTTAACAGAAATACTAGCCTAATAACTAAAAAATAATCATTTAAAACGTTTTAAATTATACAACTATTAACTGTCTTATTTTTTGGCCATTTTTCTGTTACAATAGTAGTAAATGACCGCAGGAAATATTGTAAAATTTTTTTCGTAGTTATTACAACATAATTTGGAAAATTTAATTGACATTTTAGTCATAATATTGCTTAATGTTGAAAAAAAGATTAAGTCAAATTAGTGTTCTTAAACTCAAATTATAAGTAAAGGGTTGAAAAAATGTCACATCTTAAAAATTTACGGTCGAAGGATAATGGCAAACAATCGGATTTTAAAAATAATTTATGGATTGGTAGTGCGTGACACACATATTAGAAAAGAATATAAAACTGAACAATTTTACACTTTTTTTCTATCTGCTCTGCTTATGGAAAAATCAATTTCCACAGTATTTTTCATTAACGATCCCCTGAATCTGTTGCAGCTCATACTCAAGTACACGGAGGAGTTGAATCGAATGCCGTACAGGCAGAAGTTTCCGCGCCTTGAGCCGAAGAACGTGCAGTTCTGGTTCAAAAATCGACGAGCCAAATGCAAGCGCCTGAAGATGGCGCTGTTCGACGGCGAGTCTCCACAACCCCACCCCTATCACGCAGATTAGCCAACGGCAGCCGCCTCCACCGTCGCATCATCGTTACTCTCGTCGTCGCGCTTGTACATTTAATATACATATTAATTATACGTAATTAATTATTATCATGATTATTATTATTATTATTATTAATTCACGAGACTTATAGAGCTCCAACCAGGTTCGAATACGTGCAAAACTAGTTTTCCTTATAGCGAAGAGTTTTTGAAACGAATTTTTTTTCGCATTCAAAATGCATAATTCGTCATGAATAAAATTATTAATCGTGAGTCGTTAGCAAAAATGAAAAATACTCAATTTTTCGAATATTACAATTACCATAATCTAAGATTACATATAAACAATATATGAATGAAAAAAATGTAAATAAACACACGGATAGCTTCTAATAAGGGAAAAATAGCATGTTAAGGACAAAAGATTGTTGCAATTTCCGTGGGTTTAATGGCTGTATATTAAAAAAAAACTATGTACTTCGTAAACGAATAAATATAGTAACTGTCCCACATAGCATACATAATTTGTAAATAAATCGACTTGTAATGTTTTAGGCTCTATGAATTATTTTTAATGATTTGTAATCGTCATCATGAATTTCTCATTATTAAAATTATCGACACGATGATCTCGAAATAAAGAATAAAAAAAAATACAAACAAAGCTTACACCACTCGTTCATGGCTTCATATCTTACATTTCTCAATCCACGCTACACGCATCCTCTCATTCCTGCTGTGCCGACGCCATGGTAGCGCATCTTCAAAAATCAACCTGGCGATAACGTCAAAGACCCGTACAATAAAAGCTCCCATACGTGTGGATACTCGCGCGCACACGCGTCGCGTAGGAGATAAGACATTGACTGTCAACGCAGAGCGAAACCAGCGCGTGTTTCTCTGAATACGCGAAAGCCGGAAAATTAGATTGGACCCGATGATATCGAGCTTAATGCTTCGGCAGGAAATTGAAAATATAACTCGCGCGGCGGTGAGATTTGTTTTGTGCGCACGACGGTGCGTCGTCGCGGATGAGGTATCGATCAGCCATACTGGCTCTGATCAAGCTTTCATGACGCAGTTTAAATTCAGGGCAGCTCAATTTCTCCTCGGAAAAATATAATAGCCCAGTAGTGAGACGTAAATACTCTCGAGCAAAGTAAAAAAAAAAAAGAAAAGTAAACGAATATAAGGAGAAAAGCTCGAGTTAATATACGGCACAAACAAGACAAGCGAAAGCTCGTATTCTTCAAACGATAAGATATCAAAACACATATATACACGGGTATTCAGTTAAAGCCTCGCTGCGCACTGCAATAATAACAAGTATAATACAGAACTCAAATCTCCATTTAGCGCAAAGATGAAAAAGCATATAGAGGGAATAGAAGCGGAGCGTGTGTATATAGGAAAGCTCTCTCTCTCTCTCTCTCTCTCGGTGCGCCGTGAGGAGAGAAGAAAGGAGAGATTAAACGCGGTGAAAGATCGACGAGTGAGTTTCTCTACTAGCGGATTTAATGAGGATAGGCGGATTTGTCCAATTACAACGTCTTACAAGGATTCATATTCCGTTTGGCAAAACAACACTGAGAGATAGAGAGAGAGAGAGAAAGGTTGAAAGCCTCGTGCCGCAGTGCTACTTCTTACTCTCTCCGCGCAGCCCCCAAAAACTTATATTCTTTCTATACCTGCATATGCGTTTAGTGTGTAAAAATCTACAATTTGAGCAAAAAGTTGAAAGCTCCAGCGTTTTTTTGCGAGGAATGTCAGCTTACCAACGATCATCCCCTTATCCGATGCTCATTTGTCAAGCCGCAAAAGAGACGTTTATTCACGCCTCGCAAAATGAGCTGGTTTTATTTTTTTCGACAAATATAATATCGTACGGCTCGAGACGTCGAATTCCACATCTCGCATACATCATCGTCGCGCGGCGAACAAATAGCCGTTTCCTCTCTGCGGAAAGTCGTTTTCCGCCGCGGCAGCAACCCCTGAAAGCACAATTCTTTCTCCTCACCTCTACGCTCCCGCACCAAACTTGATATGCATACAACGTCTACATAGACTTCCTTATAACATATACATAATATTATAGATATACAAAAGGAGCTGCCTGCCTCGCCGACGAGTTTATCATATGTTATATACGGCCGCGCGCGCGCAGCTCTTTTACCGCGCCATACGAGAAAGCTGTGCGTTGCGCGTGTATGACATTGTGCGCGCGAGAGTCAAGCTTCGGCATTCAAGGTACGTTCTTATCTGCCTATCCGGAGCGCGGAGCTGTCAGCAAAGTTCCTGAATAACTGCGCGCTAGCGCCAGCGAGTGGAGGAGGACCAGAGCGTAATATATCTATATGTGTGTCGCGCCTAGCCTCGACGAAGATATTGTATGCATGTATAATGCGCGCCTCCTCTTATATATGCACGCACTTAAACGCTATAAGACTTTGTGCCAGACTCGACGTTAAATTAACTGTATACATCTAGTTTCGTTTTTTCCTCCCGAAAATGAGAAGTAACGCAGGTCTATAGCACAGCGATGTGTGCGTGCTACAGGGCTAGGGCGAAAGACGCGCGCCCCTTTCATTGTACTCTCGTTACGTCGATTGACTCTCATGTCGTCGACGTCGTCGTCACTGACTCTTCGACAATCATCCAGCCAGCCAGCCAGTCAGCCGATGGGATAGTTTTGGATGTGTGTAGCCTCTTTCCAGATACGCGACGCGTTTATATATCTATATACGCGCGTGTGTCCAACTATTCGCGCAAACTTTCATCTGACATGACTGCCGGATGAAAGATAATAATATCACGAGCGTGTTTCGAGCGAGAGAGTGAGAGAGCCTCGCGCGCCGTCGAGAGTCTACTGGAGTTGAGAAACTGAAAATGCCCATAACCGAATCAACGTACAATCTCAATCTCTGTCTCTCTTTCTGTTACTCGACTACAGCTGCTGCCGCTATGCTACTCTCGCGTCGAGAGAGATTCTGTCAAGCGAGAGAATCGTGTGACAAAAATTCAATCGCCACCTCTTTCCGCTTCGGAAGTGATAATAAGCCACCGGCTACTGCGCCAGATAATCGTTCATTATACAAACTCGAATGTGTTCGCGTTAATTAACGTTTAATCGCATTTCTCAAGTTGAATTGTGATATTTTAAACGAGAAAAAGGAATACTCAACATTAATAATGGTCTGATGGTCGAAAAATGGCTATTTGAAATGTATTTATAGATCTAAGCATTAATTGGCTTGTTTTTCGTTTGTTTTTTGTTACCATTATGTTTTCAAATATTGAGCGCATTTTAAATTTGACCTACAAATGACAATTCAACTGTTCAGACCAGTTCAACCACTTTCAATACAATAATACTACTTTGAGCATTCACTACTAGATGGCGAACTCCTTGGTTCGTAGATTCTGCAAGTGTCAAAGTCAAAATAATTGTATAAGTAGAACAACGGTATAAAATTGTTTAAATGATCTTCAAATTTTAAATAAAATGACCATAAAAAGTGGAAAAAAACGTTACACTTTTGGTCAATACAAGGCCAGCACTACTGTCCTTTTTATTCCCAAGAAAATTTTTCATTTGCCAAAAACTAGTCATAAAACGTCGAGCATATCTAACACGAAAAACATAATCAACATCGCGGAGAAAACGAAAGATGGAGTTCCCAATGAAAATTATTCGCAGCCATACGCGCTCTAAGCTTAAAAAGCTCGAGCCAAAATCTTAAAACCGACAATTTTGTCCTCCGTAAGTAACTTACTCGAAGTCGAACTAGTGCGCTTTTTCTTACAAACGACAGACATTTTCACTCTTAGATGCCTAAGCGCTCGCGCGAGGAGAAGGACGAAACGAGTATTTGAGGGCCTTGCAAATTGGTGAGGGGGTGGGATTGGCGCGCGTAATCCAGTCGATGCAGGGAGGAGACAACGAGAGTGCAGCTCTACGCGCTACAAGCACCTATAGCCTCTCGAATTAATTGATTTACTCGACAAGACTTTTTTGTGTCTCGTGCCTGGAATAATGCTCGAAAAAATTAAAAGTAAATTAAGCCGACAGTAGGAGGACTGCAGCGCTAATAAAACACAAGTCGAGTACAAATGAACTCCGACTAAGCGGCAGACAAGCGCTTCCTTATTCTTTAATCCTGCTCTCTCTCTCCTGGGGGGTGTAGTACTACATAGCGCATATAAAAGCTTCACGGAACGCGAAAGTTTATATAGCCCTACCGGACCTCTACTACCTACCTACCTACTACTACTCCCTCGCGTCTCTGCGCTGTGTAGTACGCGATTGAAAGTAATGAGACATAGCAACGGATTTTCCAGCCACTAAGTTGTTAGCTTGTCATCTCTGCAGCCGACGACGAGAGATGCTCTGCTCCACGGCAGTGGATAATAAGCCGAGGCCGAAGGGATATTGTCATTAGAGATTTTCCGCAAGCTCTGCGAGTAGGCAAGGAAAATGTCGAGCCGAGTTTCTCCTCCTTTTCCTTCTTCTTGTTCTTTTGTTTTATTTTTTTTTTTTTTTCATGTTACAGAACTAATTTTCCAATGTTCGTTCACGCGCGAAGGTAAATCACGCATCCTTTCTTTTTTGATCCCATAAATCACGCGCCTAGGAAAAAGAGATTACTACGATTCTCTCGTACAGACACACACGCACACAATAATAATACCTATCTCTCCGCTTGAGTGTGAGAAAAAGTCGTCCTCTATCAAGGCTATAATACCGCGCGGCGAGACTTAATTGATCTACAGGCGAATATTAGAGCACTTAAGACGTGGTGCGCACGCGTGGTCATTTAGCGAGGAAGATTCATAGCTTATATGGACTCTTGTTTTCTCTTCTGGGCTGAAGGTGATCGCGTACAATGGGCTAGCTAGCAGCTCGGCAAGGAGCAGCGCTTCGTAAATAAAAGAAATCCCTAGTAATGGCTTTTTCTCTGGCTGACGCGACCGAACAAACTTCGGGGCTATATAATATTTTTGGATTATAACCAGACACGGGGTTAATTCTTTGATCTTTGTTTTGCGCGCGAGCTCGAGTTTTCTCGGAACGTCGCTATACAGCCGTAGCCCAGACAATTTGATAACAACATGTAAATGCACGGATCTTAGTTCAGTCGCTGCATAATGCATTCTTTCGGAATTCGGGCGAGTCCTGGCTTGCGCCAGGCGGCCGCAGAAATCCCACTTTCTAATCCCTTTCTCAAGTCACTGTGCTCAATCTGGAAAGTGCGTGGCTGCTCTAGGGTTGCGTAATAGAGAACGGAGCACACACACTTAGCATCCAAGGCTAATTCACGCGACTAAAGCTTGCGGGCCGCGCCGATACATAATTTATGCGCGCCACAAGCTAGACGACACACAACGACGACGTAGACGACGATTGTTCGCTTAGTAGCTAGATCTACTTAGCAGTCAATTTCGGGAAAGCAACCAGGTGCACTCGATTCACATTATAACGCAGTAACTCGTGTTAAAATTCACTTGGCTTGTTTGTGCTGCTGCTGCTGCTTGTCGCGTTTAAACAAAAGTCATAAAGCTCGAGAGACGAGCATCCTCGCTGGAGCGAAAAAGCCAATTCATAAATCTAGTCATAAGCGACAAGTTGCCTCGCCTCGCGCGTCCAAGTCTTACAGGCGTGCACACTCTCGAGGCTCTCTTACGAGTTTATGCTGCGTCTCGGAGGCGAAGCACACGAGCAGCAGCAGCAGCAACCTCTCTCTCCGTTCTCTGGACGAGGAGCGATAAAGCCAAGTCGCGCGGCAGCCAAGGCGCTAAATACTTACATAAATCTGTATTGCCCCGTTGAGGAGCTTATGTATAAAGGAAACTCGAAGGAGAGAGAGCTGCAACGGTAGCAGCAGCGCCAGTCGTTACAAGCTGCGCGAGCGGCCGAGACGACTACTATTATAGAGGTACGGCGAGGGCTTTCTTGTACACAACTTACAGACTGCACATACATACGGCATCGATGCGTGTAATTCTTACCGCTTACAATTTTTACTCGGGTGAAAGTGGACAAATTTACATAACCACGCTCGTGCATAAATATAAAGACTCGCGTCTTATTGATATCCATAATAGAGCTTGCGCGACGTCGAGAAAGGGTTGAGGGTTGGCGCAGGAGAGAAAGCTCGACTCGAGCGAGAGAGAGAGAGAGAGAGATACGCCGCGAGTGCCAATTTCACAGAAGGCGAGAAAAGCGCGAGAAATCCGTGCCTGCTTGCGGAGGCAATAAATCTACAGCTAGTATATCTCTGAGCTCATGAATGTTATTAAGATACAACCCCAGCAAGCGCAAGCTAGATAGGAGCTTGCAGTATATACTCCATACCTACATAGACTATATATAGCGTGGCGCTTCCTTTTATGTTATATTTTTTTTTGGAAAAAGGAGGGAAAATATCACGCGGGGTGTGTGTTTTATAGTCCCTCTCGCTCCGAAAGGGTGTCCATCCACGGTGTGAGCCCGGGCGTGAAAATCAACGCGCTCACCTGTGTGCACTGTGCGCAGCGCAGTTTAATAAAGCACGGGCGCGAAGAAGAAGAATCCATCGAATTAGCATGGCAGCACGCGTCCTATAACCCAAGATAGATAGACAAGTAAAGGAGAGAGAGAAAGAGAGAAGTATATAGTCCTACTAGCAGCAGTGCGCTGGGCGAAATTTTATGAAGAAATACCGCGTCGGGTAATCCTGCCATAGATCACAAGACCCGTTGGCCGTTCTCTCGCTCTCTCTCTCTCTTACTCTGACGTCGTAGTAGCGAGCAGAGAGAAACTGAGCGAGCGAGAGAGAGGGAAAATAAACTTCCCGCGAGCGTCTTAATGCCAAGGGACTTAACTCATACTTAGCTCGTTGCGAAGGGCGGGCCGAGCCGCGCGCTCTATATAGCCCAGCAGCACCACCCGATCTTTCGAGAACGCCAACTATAGGTACAAAAAAAAGGTAAATTCCTTCTTCTTCCTTTTTTTTTTTGCTTACTCTCCGTAGCGGCGGTGGCTACGGCAGCGGTGGCTCTAACGCGGATTTTTTATTTTCGCATTCTTGCTGACGCGCCGCTGAGTTTGAATAAATCATCGTTTTCTATACCGTTACCCGTAAGCAAAACAATAAGACGACGACGACAGATAGAGTGAGAGAGAGAGAGAGGTAGAGAGAGCTTGACCCCGCACGAAACGGAAAATTTGATCAGAACTCCGACTACGACGACGACTCTCGAGTCGAGGGAGGTTTTATCCCTTATCAATCGAGTGCCTCGAGTCGAGTTGCCGCGCGCACGCACGCACAAAGGAACGAAGCGGTATGCCCCCGAAGCCTTATCCGCTGAAAGTCATCATCCTTGTCGTCGTCGTGTGCTACCGGTTTGTCCTTTGTTTGTCCATCTCACGAACTGTTTCGATATTTATGGTTTATTCCGGGTCAGAAAGCGCTTTCTACAGGATATAACCGACATGAAACCCCACCCTCTCTCTCCTCCCTGTATGAGTTGTAATTTTTTTAAATAATTGAGAAATTGCAGATGTAGGATAGCGCAGAGCTACACCCTTTCCTTGATCAATCAATCAATTACCCGCAGCCCGAGGAGCAGCGAGCTCTCAGCTGTGAAATGGACCGGCTACGGTATATACCACTTGATATTACATCAAGACGCAAGGGGTCGTCGTCGCCGCCGCTTCGAGATCAAAGCTCTCTCTCACTGTCTTTTAGTCGAGCTCACGGCTCACGGCCAATTAAGCCGCTGCCTTACGTATACTCGCACAGATGTATATAATAATATATTTACTCTCGCGCGAGACGGACACGTCCTTATCCCTTTCTCGGAAGGAGGTGGGAGATGGGGTTGGTGGGGGGTGGAGGCGTTTACATAGGCGAGCAAACAAACGGATGTATAATGATACGTATGCGTTGACGTCGATCGGCCACCCAAAATTGTCTCTTTATTTTTTCTTACTCGAGCTTGGCTCATGCACTTGCGATAAAGTCGTAGCTTCCTCATAGAGAGAAGATAGCTCGAGTCGAGCAAACCATAAACTCTCCAAAGGCAAACGTTATATTGTATACACATAAGCCTCTGCTGCTGTCTGTGTGTGCGCCTCGTGCCTGCCTGCTTGGCTGTGTGTCTACGTAGCCGCGTTTGAAGGGTGGTTTATGTATTACGAGTAAGATATCCGATGATTTAGCTCTGTTAGAGACTCTCTTTCTCTCTCTTGAGGCTCGCGAGGAGACGCACACGCCTTATCTCGTCGCGTGGACTCCTTCTCTCTGCGTAATCTTTTATTAATTCAGCTACTTGCGCGAAATTTATACCTAGCTCGCCGCCCGTGTAGTTGCTGCTGCTTTTGTTTACGGCCTGTGGCCACATTCTTTTGTTGCGAGGGACGTTTATACGCGCAGAGAGTCTTAAATCTTTACAAAATTATCTTTTTATTCGTTTTATAAGCTATGGTTATTTTTATCTATAAGGTTGATCTTTGCTACACAGATGGCTTAAAAGTTTTAGTCTCGTTTCTCGGCTTTACAGCGCCGGACGAGCTCCGCCACGGGGTACCTCGACACACGGAAGTTGGTCTCATCGTAATCCAGCGAGTCGTTGTAGACTTTCTGCATGCGATTCGACATGACGAGCAGTTCTTCCTCGCCCTCCTCGTTAAGGACGATCTTCAAGCCGCTGATGAATTGAAGGCGCTCGTGGTCACGAAGCACGATTTTCTGTAAATTTTCAATTTTCGGAGGTGATGTTACGATCAACGAAAATTGATAAAAAAAAAGGAGGATGGCACTTACGTAGCTTTGGCTGAAGTTTATGGGGTCGGTAAAATTGAAACAGCCCAGAGCTATTTCCTCGGATAATCCGTAGAATAAAACACCCTCGCGCGAAAATACCAGTGGAGCAGTGCCTTGACTCGGTAGCACATTCATGCCACTGAGATAGTTGATTTTTTTCGTGAGCAGCTCGTTGGTGGCGACGAAGTGCATCGAGTATGAGGCCAGAGGTCTGAAAGCTAAGTACTGAGAGCCATCGGGTAATTTCGGTGACAGTGCCAAGCCCACCACTCCGTCGCTAAGGTTGAATTTTTCACCGGCGATTGAGAAAGTTTCTGCCGGACCGTATTCGGGCTCGAATGCTTGGCTCTCGAGTCGTCGGATTTCCTTGCCCTGTACTACCAGGAGGCCATTTCCGTAATTATCGGCGATATAAATCTTAGCTTTCTGTGAAAAATTTAATTTGATACACGATCTTACCACGATGATGTTATAAAAAAAAGTATAAACAATTGGTTGTTACCTCTGGATCGGAGCAAGAATCATCTTCGTAATGAACGATCGGAGTGACGAGATTTCCTCTACGTGTTTGACGATTCATGCCTAATCTTTTGGGTATAGTCACTCTGTGAACCAATTCGTTCGTCTCCAGGTCGAATACCAATAACTTTGGCGAGCACAGGATGTCTCCGTTCTTTTTACCGGTATCCAGAAGCCATATTCTGTTGCACTTGTCGATCTACACTTTTAATAATTGGTTTTAAAATAGAGCTCAAAATTTATGTAACATAGAAGATATACTTACCGCAACCCTGTACACATTCACGATGGTCTGGTCGCAGTCCCTCGAGCCCAAATGCCAAGACCAATCGGGATAAGGCTGGAGCACCGGCCCACCGGTCGTACCGCACTTGTTCGCCAGAGTATTCACCGTAGCCGGAACTCCATCCTTGGCCAAAACCGTCACGAATATCCGGCCGTCTCGGGCCTGATCGACGTCGATCGGCACCATGTTCTCGTAATCGTAGGTCCCATTTCGGATGAACAGCACCCTCTGCCTGCTCGAAGACCAGTCGTACTCGAAGTACCTCCAGTTGTAGCTGTTGATTAAAGTCTTGGCTTCATCGTCAGCGATTTTTGCGGACGCGACGACGAAGAAGAGCGCAACGACGACGAGAGCTGCATAACAGCAGCGATGCAGGTGACACATCATTAGCGCGCGATTTAAGGTAAAATTGCGCGAGCTGCCGGATTTTGATTGCTCGTTATTGATCCCATATTTATAAAAGGTAAACACGATTGCGCTCGGCTAATAGGTATTGTTTCACTTTATAATAATACATTATATTGCCGCCAGTGGCAGTCAATATATGATTTGCCTCATCGATGATTCGCGCGCAGCTGTGCAAACATCGCGATTCGGATTCGGATGCATATAACACGATTCGTTTGGGAAAATTTTGTTAAACACAATCCGTTGCAACGATTATCAATAGGAAGTACGGATTTTTAAAGGTTGCAGATGAGCAAACTGTATATATCATGTAATAATTTCCAATCGAGCTTTTCTTTTTGCAGCGCGCGCGAGGCACGTAGTGCTGCGGGCGCGATGTGTCACCAGGTGTGTCACGGAGTGCTATCTTCTTAAAATAACTTTCTCTTCGGGAACACGCGCCTCTCCTCTCTCTCTCTCTCTCTCTCTGCGCTCTCATAAATCCGCGCGCAGGCACATCTCTTTATAATATAGGGCGAATGGGAGACGGGCGCGACTGCTACTGCCACGAGCGGGGTACGGTCTTAAAAGTCCGCTATCAGCGTCGAAGCCCATGCAAAGAGGTTATACCGCACACCACCACGTCGTCGTCGTCGTGGAAGGAAGGAGGTAAGTTTTCGGGATGCGCCTGTGGATGTGCTGCTGCTGTGATGAAGGGGTGGGTGGATGGGAGGCGGGGGTGGCAAGCGCTATATTATTATTAGAGTCCCTTAAGTCTAAGAGCCTTAAATCTGCGATAAGTTATGGGAGAGCCGACGCTCTCTCTCTCTCTCTCCTCTCTCTTCTCTTCTCTCTCGCTTACCAGCATTTTCCTTCCTTCCTTCCTTATATACTCAACTTATGCATAACGCAACTATATATCTATATGGATGGGCTGCTGCTGCCGCTGCGCACCTCGTGTAATGTCTTAGACATCGCGTTCGCTGCTGGCCTTTATCTCGGCATACATTATAACCGAGAACGAGAGAGAGAGAGAGAGAGAGAGACGGAAGCAGCCTTCAGTGTGAGCTCGCGCGCGCGCGAGGGTAATTGAAAATAACTGCGTGCCTAAACCGAATTTGGCAAATCCTGCTGGTGGCACCCGTTGCACACGCTCATATACACGCGATGCGTACCCTCCCTATGCGACGTACGTGAGGATCATCGCTTGCGCTGAGAGATATTTTTTTTAATTTCGCCGAAAGAGATGATTGGTAGCTCTGCTGCTGCTGCTGCTGCTGCTACGCTTTATATACCGCATACAGAATGATTAAGTGTAAAATTTTTAAGATTCGATGCTGCTAGTGGTAACTTTGAAAGGGTGTACTACTTTTGCTCGGTCAAATCATTGCTAAGAAGTTGAAGATTGCTAAACTATTCGTAGATCTGTCTCTCAGATAGTTTATGTTATCTTGTGAATTTATCGATGAGCTGTTTGGATGAGTCGCATATGGCAATCACGAAGCTTACCGTATGAGCGTCTACGTAAAGGTTGAATAGGTACAAAAATAACAAGCATGCAATATTTTTTTCGTTCTGGTACTGTGGACCAACATCTTTTGATAATTCAATAGATATATTTTGCATCGGGTGAACAGCAATGTTACTTCTTTCGGAATTATATACACCGATAAAGAGTAGGTATTTGAAAAATCTGGTATTTATTCAAGTTGATGTAAGGAAGGTGTGTAGGATATTTCAAAATCACAAAACAATTAATAACAGTTTGAAATATTTTATTATTACTCACGAAGTTATAGATATTTATGTAATTCCTTATCGTGTCCAAATTACCTCCGGATGAGTCTCACACATTTGAGTTTCTTCAGATCATGTACTAAATTAATGTGTTGGTTGAAGTCACTTTTGTATACAAACGATTTGTGACCAACATTACATTCGAAGGGTTCGCAGCGAGCATGTACTGCATTTATATGCCTTTTGAGATTTGTTTTTAGTCCAAATGATTTATGACAAATGCCACATTCAAAGGATTTGCTACTATTATGTACTGTATATATGTGAACTTTAACGTTACTTTTTCGTCCAAATGCTTTATGACAAATGTCACACTCAAAGAGTTTACTTTGATTATGTACAGTCATGATGTGAATTTTGACGGTTCCCTTTTCTCCAAATGATTTGTGACAAATCTCACATTCGAAGGGTTTACTGCCATTATGTACTGTACTCGTGTGAGTTTTGAGTACACTCGCCGGGTTAGATACTCGGACCTCGAAGATTTGAGATCGATTAGTTGCTTACTTCACTGTTTATAAACAACAGCGCGTGACTACATTTTTACGATGGACGCTGCGCAGTGAAGGAAGCGAGTAATCGATCTCAAATTTTCGAGGTCCGAGTATCTAACCCGGCGGGTGTACATACTGGTATCCAAATGATTTGTAACAAATTTCACATTCAAAGGGTTTGCTCCGATCGTGTACTGCATTTATGTGAGTTTTGAGGTGACCTTTTAATTTAAATGATTTTTGACAAAAGTCACATTCAAAATTAGATTTTTTTCTTCCAAGTAGTTGGTCCTCGTTTGGTTTTCTACTTTCACGGTAGGTGGATAACTCTGATACTCAGTTTTACAAATGGTTGTAAATGCAGAAATCGGTTCAGGTTTAACATCTTTGCACTCGAAATCTACGAATATTTTTTCATCAAACTTGTTTCGTAACGGCATAGTCTCACTCGTGTGATTTGCCTAAAATTAAAGTAAATAATAGTTTTCGATTGATGAAGAACATAATATAATTCAAAACATTGAACTCACCAAGGTTTTATGAAACGTGAATGTTTCAAAGTTATTGGCTTTGCAAGAGTCCACCGAATCGAAATTGTAATTTTTGTCTGCATCTGGCCAAGTATCATTCGGCTCCTCTTTTATTCTGTAGAATAATCAACTTTGATAAAGCACCAGCTTAAAAAAATATCATATCATACATAAAGTAAGTTATACCTCTCTGTATCCTCTCTATTTTCCATCACCCGCTTGTTTTAAATGTATTTTTCTTCATCCGCTGCTCGAAAGAACATTCTTTCGTCTTCGAATCCGGAGACGAAAGTACAACTTTTGCTCCCTAACTTCACAGCGTAAAAGTAAACTCTCCCTATCAACCGTAACCTAAATATTAAGTTTATTTAGTTAACGTGCTTAGATTGAGTAAAAATATCATGAATCAAAGCAATGTATCATCCTCTGAAGAATCAGAAAGTGAAGAAGAAGTCATTAGGAACTTCGATGATGAAGCCGGATAATTAATTGCGAACGAGACTTTGCCGGAAATCAAAAGATCGGTACCAACTAGTGTACGAAAATTATAAAAAGTGGCTTGTTCAGAACAAAAATTGTATATCGGCATCGCATGAAAAAAATCTGGTGGTTTATTTCAAGGAATTGAACTCTAAATTAAAGCCACCCACTCTCTCGAGTATATAGTCGATGCTAAGAACAACTTTGAATTGTAATGAAAGTATAGATATTACGAAATTTCTGAGTTTGAAAGCTCAATTGAAAAAGTATTCAAACGGCTATAAACCTAAAAAGTCTGCTGTGCTAAAATAGGCAGAGATTCAAAATTTTATCGACCCAGCACCAGACCACGTTAATTTGTCTTCAAAGGTAGTACATATATTTTAAATTTTAGCCCAATAATTTTGCTTTTCATCTAATTTGAAATTTATAATAATTTCAGTGCGTTCTTATATTTGGCATTTGCGGGGCACTTCTATGTGATGAAATTATAAAATTGTCAACTCAAGATGTTTTAGACATGAGTGATGTACATCGATTCAACATAAGTATCAAAGATACAAAAACATATCTGGATCGTGAGTTTATCGTCGGAGAGCCATTCTACGTTAAAATCAAACAATACATCTCATTGAGACCGCCAGGAAACTTCAGTGACAGATTTTTTATTAATTACAACAACGGAAAATGCACACGACAACCTATGGGCAAAAACAAAATAGGAGGAATTCCGGAAACAATAGCTCTGTTTTTGAATTTAAATAATCCAAAATTATACACAGGCTATTGTTTTCGACGAACTGCTGCTACACTTTTATCGGATTGGAAGTCGGATTCTGTTGCACAAGGCTACGTCGACAAATCAATGCACAACAGAAATAAGATTTTTCAAAGCCTAACTCATGCAGCTACATCGAAAGCGAGCTCTCAAAGTCGAGAAATGATCATCGCAGAAAATGAGATGAGGAGCTGTCCAGTACCATCGACCAGTGCTCAGAAGGAAGGACAGGTGCTCGACGACACTGCTACTGCTTCAGTACTGCTCGTTGCAGAAGACGAGATTGTTAGGGGCTCGAGGAGAAAATTTAAACGTGGATGAAAGAAGCACCTCAAAAAAAACACCCTTTTTTGTTAAAAAACCTGTGAAACTGATTTTAAATGAGGCTAAGAACGAAAATTCATCTGCATCAAAAATTGTAGGCAATTCGGTGAGTAAAAGGAAGTCGAATGCGCCTGAAGAAAGTGAGCCTGAAATTAAAAAAATTTTCATTAATACAGCCGAATCGAATACACCACAGCTACCTTTTCAAAATTGTATTTTACAAAATTGTACGATTCATACAATGTTCCTGCTCAAATATTGATAATTTAAATAAAAAATAATGTTTATAGGTTAAACGTTGAAAGTTTGTTTAAATTTTATTTGAACAGATTGTTTTTATTTTTATTTTGAATTAATGGTTTCTCAGTTCTCGCGTTCTGCTGTTGGTGGGCCAACCCCTAAGTTTTTTGACCATTGTAATATCGCTGCCAGCTTCTACTATCCGCGTAAGAGCTGTACGCCGAAAGCTTTGGGCAGTGAAAAGCTCTGGATTTGACAGATTCAGAAATGACGCAATAACTTTTGGTATCGCGCATATTTGATCGATTCCAACCGGCTGGTTGACACATTTTCCATCACGGTAATTAACAAAAA